CTCCAGGGTCTCTCTCAGGCTGTCTTTCCCATCACCTACTGCCAGATCTTTTAACTGGAGATACCAGGGATTGAACCTGGGACCTTCTGTACGCCAAGCAGATGCTCTGCCAGTGAGCCACAGCCCCTCCCCAAGGCCTCTGCCTGAGCTCCTGGAGAGCTGCTGCCAGTCAGAGTAGGCAATACCACCCTCGAGAGATGGCCTGAGTCAGTATAAGACAGCTTCTTCATGTAATCATTAACTCCATTTTACTTTTAACTTTTATTTTGTTGTTGTTCAGTCGCACAGTCGAGTCCGACTCTTCGCAGCCCCATGGACAAGATCACGCCAGGCCCTCCTGTCTTCCGCCGTCCTCTGAAGTTTGCTCAATTACATGTTCGTTGCATCTACGACACTATCTAACCATCTCATCCTTTGCCGTTAATTTTATAACCCTGTTTTTTCCCAATGATCAGATAGATACAAGGTGGTGGCGCAAAGTCCTATATATATCCCCATTGCCCCTTCATGTGTACAAATGGGTGTTGCAGCCCTTACTTCCTTCCAATTAATGGCACAGAGACACACCCTTCACACTCCTTAATACAGGCTAGGGCAGGAGGGGGAATCAATGCAGCAGAAGCAGGGGCAAGTAATTGTCAGTCCTGAGGATTAGAAAGAAAGAGGCCCTGACTTGGATAGCCCAGGCAAGCCCGATCCCGTCAGATCTCAGAAGCTAAGCAGGGCCAGCCCTGGCTAGTATTTGGATGGGAGGCCTCCAGGGAATACCAGGGTTGTGATGCAGAGGCAAGTGACGGCAAAAGCCACCTCTGAATGTCCCCTGCCTTCAAGCCCCACTGGGGGTCGCCAGAAGTTAGCTTGACCTGATGGCAGGCAGGCAGGATGATCGGAGTGGTAGGTATAGTCTGTGTGGATCGATGAGCACCCAGCAGAGACTCAGCAAAATGTCCAAAGTGGACATGCTCCAGCAGGTTTCCTACATACCACCTCCAAGAACAGAGGCACTCATGTTTATAACCCCTACCCACTTTCTGCCTGAGGCTTTTTGGATTTCCTTTGCAGGCACCAATTTCCTTGGCTGACCTGTTGCAAGTACACATGAAAATGACGATAATAAAAAACACACTTCCTGGGGTTTGTGTACAGACTTGGTGCAGAACTAAAATGAAAAATATGTGTAAATGGTAAAAAAAAAAAAAAAGACCCTGAACCAAAATATGCTCCCCTAAGAATCAAAACTTTCCCACTATGGCAAACAATCGATGCAGCTCTGCCATGTGAAAATGAACATGGGGAAGCTGCAATCAAGCATACCAGGCTGGAAGTGAACTTGGATGGCTCCAGAGTGAGCCTTGTGTGGTAGAACATTTGGGACGGGGGGGGGGATGGAGGGAGGAGAGAAACAGAAAAGGCTAAAAGGAAACCAAGCTGGAAGCATTTCCCAGGAGCCGGGATGGAATGTCCAGTAAAAACTGACTAAACCTCCCAGAAGAAGCACTCGACAATATTGCCGAGTGCGTAAACGAACAGAACATAGGCAGGTCAGTCTAGCTGAGTGGTCCCAAACCTTTCCATGTGTTATGACCAGTGTCCCCCCCAAGATGAATTCGTGTGAGCTGGCTCACAGTTTTTTTAGCCTCCAGCTCACACATTTTTGTCTTCGCTCAGGAAGGAGGGCCCCAGAGCAAACTAATTTATGCAGTAGCCAAGTTATTTGCTCACAACTTTAATGCCAGTCGCTCACAAAGTAGATTTTTTTTCTTGCTCACAAGACTCCACAGCTTAGAAAGAGCACTGGTTGTGACCCCTTTTTGACATCCAACAAAATTGTGGGGGGGAAAAAACCCCAAAACACATGGCAGCAGTGGTACTATCCAGTATCCACTGACTGAGAAAACTCACTTACGAAAACGTACATATGTAAAGTGCCATCAAGTCACAGCCAACTTACGGCAACCCCCACAGGGTTTTCAAGGCAGGAAGCATTCAGAGGCGGTTTTCCATTGCCTGCCTCTGCATAGCAACCCTGGACTTCCTTTGGTGTTCTGCCATCCAAGTACTAACCAGGCCTGAGCTCCTGAGATTAGGTTAGCCTGGGCCGTCCAGGTCAGGGAGACTGAGAAAACACATGACAACAAAAAAGATGAAAATGACAATGCTGAGGGCACATGCGGACCCACAGACCCTTTACAAGAGCTCTGCAGGGCCCCCCACCTCCTGGTTGGGAATCACGACTCTAGGTGATGAGCAGAAGCTGACCCGGCCTAGAAGCTCTGGGTGGAGGAGATGCTCCTGGGCCCTATCACCTTGTCCTGCCCCGGATAGCCCAGGCTAGCCCAATCTCCTCCAATCTCAGAAGCTAAGTAGGGTCGGCCCTGGCTAGTATTTGAATGGGAGACCTCCAAGGAATACCAGGGGCGTGACGTCGAGGCAGGCAATGGCAAGCCATCTCTGAACGTCTCCTGCCTTGAAAAACCTACAGAGTCAGCTTATAAATCATCTGTGACTCAACGGCACCTCCCTCCACCACCTACAACCTTAGAACACTGGTGGTGATGCATTTTGACCCCTAGTTGAATATCAGAACCCATCCGGTCATCGGCCCCTCTAAATTACCAGAAGCCAAACCCCCCCTTTGAAAACTTCAGTGGGACACAGGGGGATCTAGGAAGCTGCCTGGGAGACCCCACTGTTTTCTGGACAGCTCTACAGATAATGATAAGGACACACACAAACACCAACAGCCTATGGAAAAATGAGAGACGGTGTGCTGTAACAGAGTGCTGGACTACAGTCGGGGAGAGCTGGGTTCAAAACTCCACCCAGCCATGAAGCCTGCTGGGAGATCTCAAGTCAGCCACTCTGTCTTTCTCAGCCTAACCGACCTCACAAAGCTATTGGGGAGAACCACGTATGTCACACCCAACACCTGGGAGAAAGGGTAGGATACAAATGAGATACACCGATTAAGAAAGGCTGCACAGGGCTTGAAGACATGAATCTGCCTTATACGGAATCAAGGTCAGTCTTGTCGAAGACTGGCAGCAGCTCTCCAGGGTCTCAGGCTGAGGTCTGTCACATCACCCCCTACCTGAGCCTTTTAGCTGGAGCTGAGCCACGTCCCTTCCACAAGGACCAGATTCTGTGCTGCCCCCCAACGGCTCACCAGTTAAAAGCTTCATCCCCCACTCTGCTCTTTGCTCCTGCAGAGGTGAGAGAGGCAGCAACTAGAGACAGCGCCTTCTCCGTGGTGGCTCCCCATCTTTAGAATACTATGCCGGCCACCTTCCCTACTGACAATTAGGCACCAGGTCAGAACATTCATTATTTGTGCAGACTTTGAATGGAGTTTTTCCCCAGCCCATCCAGGTGGTTTATTTACATCTTCTTATGTACTTTGCGGTGGCTCAAGTGGTTAAGACGCTAGACTGCAGGCTGTGGAAGGTCAGTAGTTCAGCAGTTCGAGACCCGAGTTGCCGCATGATGGAGTGAGCTCCCGTCTCTAGTTCCAGCTCCTGCCAACCTAGCAGTTCGAAAGCAAGAAACTGCAAGTAGATAAATAGGTACCACTTTGGTGGGAAGGTAACAGAGTTCCGTGCGCCTTAGTGTTTAGTCATGCCGGCCACATGACCACGGAAACGTCTTCGGACAGCGCTGGCACTTCGGCTTTGAAACAGAGATGAGCACCGCAACCCTAGAGTCGGACTCGACTGGCTTTCGAGCAAGGGAACCTTTACCTTTACCTATGTACTTTGCAACCTGCTCTACTAGCTAAGAGCCCTACAGCATTCAGCTTACTTATGCATCAGTTCTGTGCCACTGAGCTGCGGGGGCTCTACTGCTCGGTTTCATGGGATTCTTTGGTTTCCGATCTTTGCTGTTTGGTTCGTGCAATGCCTCAAGCAGTTTCTGTGGCACAGAAATCTAACTAAATAAAAGCAACCAACTGCCAGTTGGTGGTGCCCCTAAACACGATTCCCCCCCCCATTTTTACAGGTTTTTAGCTACACACCCCTTTTCTTGCAAATCCAGATGTCAACAAACCGGATCTCTCCAAAACGCCACACCGTTGTTGCTGCGCGCCTTCTGAGCCGCCCAAGATACCCTTGCTTCATCCTGGTCCAAAAGTCCTTCTCGCTACAGAAAAACCAGCGGTGCCACCCACACCAAAAGAGATGCCTCTACCTGGTTTTCTCAGGTGTGAAGCCACGGCAAGCCTGAAGGGTTCTGTCTGCTGCTGAGTCGGGTGGTGTCAGCTTGTTGTTGCCCTGAGAGGCAAGAAGCCAGCTAACCCCATCGCCCCACCAGCCAGCCTCAGCCAGCCTCAAAAGAACCGACACAGCCTCTCTCTCTCTCCCCCTCCTCTCCCACCCGTCCCTAATTAAGGCTGCTAAAAGGCGCACCGAGCAAAGCCGAGGCAGCCGGAGCTACAAGTCTCAGCCAGTGTTCCCTCTAAGCTGAGTTAGTGTGAGCTAGCTCACAGTTTTTTAGCCCCTGGCTCACATATTTTTGCCTCAGCTCAGGAAGGATGGCTCCAGAGCAAACTGATTCATGCAGTTGCCAGATTGCTCGCTCACAACCTTAATGCCAGGAGCTCACAAAGTAGATTGTTTGCTCACAAGACTCCACAGCTTAGAGGGAACATTGGTCCCAGCCCCTCCGCAGACCCAACAGGCTGCCGGGTGCAAGAAACCGGTGCTTTTGGAGCGAAGAGCCGGGAAGGCAGCGTCTTTTGCAGCCTCCCTTGTTCCTTTCCGCTCAGAGGAACAAGCCAGTCCATCCGCGCCCTCCCCTCCCGGAGCAGAATCGGAGGTTCCCTTTCTCGCACACAAACACACACACACACACACACAACCAGGCTGTCGCTGGCAAGAAACTTAAGACCCCGGCTTTGCCGACCGGACTGGGCGAGATTGGGGCCATTCCGGAGAACCCTCCCCAAGAGCCGCATCCCAACTGGGGGGCTCGACGGCGCTGCCCGGGCGGGGGAGGAAACTCACCCTCAGCCAGCCCTCCGGGTCTCGGGAAGGGCTGCCCCCCGCCAGCCGGGCCGCCTGCCGAGAAGCTCACTAATCCCAACTCGGGGGGCTGCAGAAGAATGGGGGGGGGGGGTTTTCCTGCCAGCGGGCTCCCCTCCTCTCCCCGCACCGCCTTCCGAGGCCGCCGCTCGCCGAGCCGAGGGGAGGCTCTGCACAAATGCTCCGCCGCCGCTCTCCGAAGTTCTCCGGGGCTGGTGGAGGCGAAGAGGAGCGTGCGGGGACGCGGCTGCGGGCGGAAGATGGTCCGCCCCTGCCTCGGCCACGCTTGCGCAAAAAGGCGCTGCCAGCCCTGGGTCAGCTGGCGCGGCTGTGCTGGGAAAGCGGCGGGCAAATCGGGGAAGGGGCGTGAGCCGGGAGGAGGAGGGAGGAGGCGGGGAGGGAAGCGCCGCGGGGTCGTCGCTGGCTGGCTGGCGGCTGCTGCCTCCCGGGCCCGGCCTTCTGCTCCGAGCACCGCCTCTCGCCTGGGGGCTCTGCGGGGCGACAGGGACAGGCAGGTCCCGAGAAGGGGCTCCTCCTAACCTTCATAACATCTCACCCCGCCCGCCCCGCCCAAGAGCGCCACTCGTCTGTCTCTCGCTGGAAGGACTCTTTCTCCTTCCCGGGACGGAGAGGGATTCAGACTTCTCCCTGCCGGAAACCTCACGGCGCCGTGAAAGGCTCGAGGAGGCCGTCCGGCGCTTTACGCACGCATCCTCAGCTTATCGCCTCCGCTGCGTTTCAAAGCAAGCTGCTGGTCCTCGTGGAGGTGGTAGCGCGAGAGGGTGTAGACTTTCCAATTTCCGAGGGGGGGGGGCTGGGGCTGGGCCAGAGGCATTGCTTTGCTGGGGAGAAAGGGTGGCTCCCGGGGGAGGCTGAGTACCTTCCTGAAAATTTCGGAGGAGGCTGAAGCCCCGCTGCCCCCACGAAGATTACGCCTATTGGGTTAGAATCTAACGGGGAAATTGGTTGCTGGGTTTTAAAGCGCCGGAAGGGGCTGCGGTGCCCTTTCCCCCTGTTTCCCCCTGGTTTCCACCGCTTCTGACAACCTGTGCCCCGCCAAATCCAAGTTATATGCAAAATCTTTGGGGAAACGGAAATACGTACCACGGAGCAGTGTTCCCTCTAAACTGAGCTAGTGTGAGCTCAGTCACAGTTTTTTAGCCTCCGGATCACAGATTTTTGTCTTAGCTCAGGAAGGAGGGCTCCAGAGCACACTAATTGATGCAGCAGCCAAATCGCTCGCTCACAACGTTAATGCCAGTAGCTCACAAAGTAGAATTTTTGCTCACAAGACTCCACAGCTTAGAGGGAGCCTTGCCACGGAGTGCATTTGTCATCGCTGATGACCTAGTGGGGACATATCCCACTTGGCGTCTCTAGACGTCAAACTGTGCGGAGGATTGGTCGCTCCGGAGCAAGTTCCCTGGCCATATGGTGGAAAGTGCAGCGTTCCCGTAAATCGAGGCCATCCCCTCGCGAGTTTCACTGCCTGTGGCCATTCAGGACCTTGCAACGTAGACTGTGATTCCAAGCAGTTCTGCTGCTCTGCCCAAATTCACTGCCAGAGACTTAACATGCAGCAGAGGCAGTGTTGAATAATGGTTGGTATGTCAGACTGGGGAGAAGAAGAACCTCCCAATATATGGGGACCAATGTTCCCTCTAAGCTGTGGAGTCTTGTGAGCAAAAATTCTTCTTTGTGAGCTACTCGCCTTAAAGTTGTGAGCGAGTGATTTGGTTACTGCATCAATCAGTTTGCTCTGGAGCCCCATCCTTCCTGAGCTAAGACAAAAATGTGTGAGCCGGAGGCTAAAAAACTGTGAGCTAGCTCACACTCACTCAGCTTAGGGGGAACACTGATGGGGACCCCATCCAGGCATGTTCTGGCAAGAGACCATCTTTCCTTTTCTGTTGCCTTTCTCTGTATAGTGACCTTTTTTCTTTGGCACTTACCAACTGTGGGTGACCCTGCACCTGGCTGGATGACCTTGGGCAAGCCATAGTTCTGATAAGAGCTGTTCTTGAAAAAGAGCAGTTTCTGTCAAGAGCTCTCTCAGCCCCACCTACCTCACAGGGTGTCTGTTGTAGGGAAGGGAAAGGAGTTTGTAAGCCGCTCTGAGACTCCTTCGGGTAGTGAAGGGCGGGGTATAAATCCAATCTCTTCTTCTTAGCTCCCAAACTGGGATGAGCTGGGACTAAGCTGGGCTGTTGGGGCTGCTGAGACCCAGGTTCAGATCTCCACTCAGCCACAAAGCTTGCTGGGTGATCTTGGGTTAGCTACTGTCTCCCATCCACTCCAGCCTACTTCACAGGGTTGTTGTGAGGATAAAATGACAGAGGAAAGAAGAATGTACAGCACCTCGAGCTCCTTAGGGCAGAGGTGTCGAACTCATTTGTTACGAGGGCTGGATCTGACATAAATGTCATTTTGTCGGGCCAGGCCATGTGTGCCATAAAATGAATGCCAGGTTCCGGAGATATAAACTGCATAAAGGACAGCAGCTGGCAAGCTTCGAGTTGGTGTATCCTCACTGCAAGGCCCCACGGGCTGGGGGGGGGGATGCAGAGGAAAACCCACATGGGTGGACTGGAGAGGCAGCAGTGCAACACCGGGCAGATGCTCCCATGCTGCTTGACTGCTGCAGAGGAGGTTGTTCCGTCAGGCTGAAGTCACAGTTGGAGTGGCTCCAACCACTCCCCTCCCCAAGAAGTCTCCTCTTCCCCCCCTTGCACCAGTTGCTCGTGGGCCGCATAAAAGCCGTGGATGGGCTGGTTCTGGCCTCCGGGCCTTATGTTTGACACCCCTGCCTTAAAGGAACGGCAGGATCAGGAATAGATGTAACCTTCAGGGAGTTGCTACTTGCTAAACAGATGTCACTTGCACAGCGGGCTAGAAGCTGGGAGAGTCTCTTTCAAATGTGTGTTCTAAGCAAATAGAAGAATGACAGGGGATGGGAAAGACAATAAAAATAATGCGTGAAACCCAAATTAACTGCTGTTCTTCCCACCCCCACCATGCACAAAATTAACAGGAGCCCTGTAACCAGGGGTCATTTCCAGCAGGAGCGCACAGGAGCGGAGCTCCGGCAGTAAAGAGCCCAGGGGGCGGGCACATGCAACAAGCCCCACCCCCTGCTCCCAGCAGCCCTCAGTCGGAGCAAGAAGCAGCCAGGTAAGCTGCAGAGCCCCACCCCCACCCACCCCCAGTCCAAAACAGTCCCGTGGCACCTTTAAGACCAAGTTTTATGCAGGTACAAGCTCTCCCTCCTCTGCAAGGACAAATCTGCACATTCCTCCCCCCCCCCATAGCTAGCAATCCAAAACAGTCCAGTGGAGCCTGAGCGGTGGGTGTTGCCTTCTGACACACTTCCTGTGATGTCAGGAGGTGTGGCACATGCAAATAAGTGATGCTAATGAGTTATGCTAATGAGCTCCTGCACCTCTTTGTCTACAAAATGACCCCTGCCTGTAACAGGGAAAGGGAAATGCTAAGAATGTTGTATGAAGGACAAAGTTTTGAAACTGGGGGCAGATTTAAAGATGCACACTGGTCGTTTGTCTGATTTGCATGTGTGATTAAACTTATCGCAGAGGGCCCACAGCCTGAGTTTTCTACCAGGGACGGTGCTTGTTGATGGAGACTTTTCCCACGCTGGGAAGAAAGACATTAAATTGCACACATGTAAGCTTGCAGAATATACTAGACTTTTAGACATACATCTGGTACATGAAACTGCCTTATACCAAATCAGACGCTTGGTCCATCAAAGTCAGTATTGTCTAGTCAGACTGGCAGCAGCCCTCCAGGGTCTCAGGCTGAGGTCTTTCACATTACCTGATCCTTTTAACTAAAAACACCTGAGATCAAAGCCGGGACCTTCTGCAAGTCAAGCAGATGTTCTCCCACTGAGCCCCAAGAAATCAGCAACAGGAAAACACACGGGAGGTCAAGAAATGTACAACATCTGATGCACCTTTGGAGCAAAGATTGCAGTAGATTCAGTCCCTGTTGAGCAGACGCACGGGATACGTCACTCCAATTGTGCCTCAAAGCCCAGCATCATCTGCGCAGCATTTCCTGATGTAACCCTTGATCTCCTTCTCTAAGCCAGTTTATTCTCCAGATGTCTGGAGTTTTTGCATACAAGTCTAAGCCAAGTCTGAGCTGCTCACTTCCTTTTGGGCAAAAGGAAGCAGCCCTGTTGAATGAATGAATGTGGTGGGGGGGTGGACTTTGAAGTGGCAGCAGGCAAGTAGTCTTTAGCTGTAATTACCAATTGCTGTCTAGCAAGGAGGAAGGGAAAAGGCAATATTCTGGTCCAGACTCCTGTATTTTTTTTAAGGGCATCTGAAAATCATAATGCTGTTCAATAAGATTTAATAATTGCTCTCCAAAGTAATCCCAAATGTCAACATTTATTTATTGCAAAACACTGAAAAGGAAGATTGTGCTTGCTAGCTCACATGACCTTTAGCAGTGAGGGATGCTTTGCAGTTTAGTTCTGTAAACGCAAGTATGAAAGTGCCCACGGTTCAACAGCATGCCTAGATGCAGAGCTCAGACAATTAGGAATGATGCAGGTATATTTAAATGGCTAGGTTTTCATGGCCTCCTTTTGCGACTTCCCAGAAAAAAGCTGGCTAATTAAACAGTAACACAGCATTCGCAAAATAGAACAATGATCATATATCTTGCCATTGAAATGGTGTCACTTCTTTATATTGGAGATCAAAAAGCAATGTGTGACTCCATTTTGCACCATTGTGTATTCTCAATTTTTTTTTTAAAAAAGGTGCTGGATTTGTGCAATGATAGCTAAAGGAGATCTCAGTTTTAGTGCTTAACAAAGTGTAGATCTGGGAGAAGAGATCCTGAGAATGCTAATTGCAAACAAAGCCATAGTCATACAGGGGGACCTGCTGAAGAGGGCCGAAAGCTTAGAAAGGCATTCAGTGTGGCCAGCAGTGCAGTATTATGCCAATTTAAATCCATTTAAATCAATGTGATTAAACTGGAGTCGCTGTGGATGAGATTGAACTGTAAGGATCAGATTCCACCCCTCTTTAAGGGCTGTATACAAATATGA